ACTTTCTGATTACCATTAAAATTACACCACCTTTGCTGTTCAACGAACTTAGTTGATTGCATGGAATCAGAGTGAAAGTTCTTTCCATGTACAGTTTTCACTTAATAGAGTAACCGAGAAATTAAGAGAATTGCTTCATTTATATATTTCCTGGCGTATAATAAAATTCTCCAGTTTCCGGAAAACTTCCTGTTCTATGTCACTTTTCAACATTGTTCCAAAAGAGCAAAATAAATGGATTTTGTATGAAATTATCGTTTTAATGCTTAAATATGTCGAGTTTGACGTAATTTATCACTTGTGAAAGAAGTTAGAAATAACGATGATATATTATTTTATTTATTTCAACTTTTATAAGCATAAATTGAAGTATGTAATTCTGTTAAATCTGACTAGTAATAAAGTTACGAGTATTAGTTAATAAAATTGTGTAGCGCTTGGATTTTGTAGATGGAGAGCCTATATAATCACTAAGGCCCGGATTTTGATGACATTTGCATTTTTGGACATTTTTTGTCCTTTAGAGCATTTTTTGAGATTTATAGGGCATTTTCTTTAAAATTTTGGGCNATTTCAAAAATATTTAATAGTAAAAACAGAAATAAAATTTTTATATAAGCTTCTGTAAAATACAACGTTTGATTGTATAATAATTATACAGAACCTCAACTGCAGGCCGGTTTGCACTAAATTTGGTGTTTTGCTCTGTAAATGATTCCAGATCAAATTACGGTGAAAAGTATCAGCACTCAGGGTGTCGTTAATTTTTACTGAAAAATATATGTTACGGAACAAAAAAAATCTGATGTACCATAATTTTTACAGTATTAAATACTGTAAAATCACTGAATCATGGTATTATATTTTACGGTAAAAATGGAATTTGCGGATGATGCACCCAAAGTACCATACCGTAATTTGATCGCAATTTGATTTTTACAGTGTAATGTTTGAAATAGTGTCCTTGTTCACTTTAAAAGCTCATCTGATAATCGGTTCGCAACATAAAAGTCCAAGTAGAGACTTTTTCATAGATATAACAGGAAAGTCATTGTTGCGATTAAATTGCTGATGATATTGTTTTTTTATTGTTAAAAACAATCAGTATCAGTAAATCTTCGTGCTGTTCTGTTTAATCGCAAATCAGTTTCGTTGGGTGGTTATTGAACATTTTTTAAATTATTCATCTTTGTTTTCCAGAAAAACAACTTTAGCAAAAGTAAAACAAAGATGAAGTGACGCATGGGAGCAACGTCATCAAATTAATATTTCGATAGGTATATTAAAGCATGCATTTTTCGTTGTTGATACTTGCACTTCTTATAATCTTAAACAATTTAAAGGTAACAAGCATTAATAAAATTAAAATTGAAGTAACGCACTGAGTGCTAATTAATTTGGAAAATCTTAATCATGTTAAATCAATACAATGCGGGTTCAATGTATGACGTATAATTATGTGTGCTTATGATACATGATTAATTATGTATATATAATTATGTATGACTATAACCATGTATGTTTAACTTTTCCTTTAGTGGCTGAATTTTTAAAACATTTTTTAATAAATTCAATAATATAAAGTTACTGAAATGAGCAAAAAATAATGAAAATGAAAGTTAAGCACTAAGTTATTAAAAGAGATAATTTGTAGAAATGCTCAAAAAATTACCCGCAGTAGTGTGATATTAGTTGGAGGAAAATTATTTTAAAAAATTATATTGCCATCAATAATTATTTCCGAATACTTTAAATATGATTTTAGCAAAGCTTGACTCACGTAATATTGAAAAAATAAAAGTAAAAAAAAGAAGGTAAAAGTAGTAAAGTAAAAAAGTAAAAAAAGAAGGAATGCCACGATCTTTGAAACAGCCATAGTGTTGCTCTTCAAAAGAATTGATTAATAATACCACAAGCATTTATTTACCAGAATTGCATTGTGTTCCCTATCATCAATAATGTAACTAACATAGACAAAGTCTATTATGAAGTCCATAAAAATTTTGCTAAAATCATTTTCAATTTATAAGAATAATTCCAGTTGAAATAAAATGACACTTATGTTTCATTAATACTAATTTCAAAAATTATAAGTTATAATTGTCTTACTTTTTTGTAAGTTTAATTTTTCAACCAAAATTTATGTTTACTTAACCTAATTGATTTGAATTAATGTCTACAAGTTATTTAAATTCAAAACATCTAAATATTTTGGTTTAAAGAAGGTTTCTAACAGCAAAATTATTTTCCTATATTTGTATTATTATTAATCTGAAAATAAGGCTGTTATTTTATTATATTTATATTATTATTATATTGATAATGTTCTTAATATAAATAAGCATCAACAGAACTTGCTTTTTTCTTGAAAATATGTCCATGTATTTTACGTTTACACCCAAAATCCAATCCTTAAAAAGCTTTGCGCTTTTTGATTGAATACTTCGAGGGCAGTGGAGCAAAGTGTTAGACAAATTTAATACATGAGACTAGTGGTTGTTGAATTTTCTTTCCTTTTTTATGAAAATATATTTCGAATTTGTTTTTTGTGTACAGTTTTTCTAAAGTTTAAAATGATTTATGTTAGTTTAGACAATTTTGAAATACGTGGATTAATTGACAGTAAACCACTTTTGAAAAAGAATTAATAATGTAATAATTTGAATGAAGAAATATTTTTCTTTTTTAATGTAAAAGATTCCAGAAAACTTTTATAACAGAGTTGGAATTTTTAAACAACTTTGAAATATGTGGAAAATAGCCATGTGATAACTTTTAAGTTTACAAAACGTAGAATATATAATGTGTATATCTTAAACTAGCTTTAAAATAAGTGGATTTTATTAATAGATATCCAATTACGAAAATAAAGTAATATTAAGATACACTGTAAAATATTTCGGATCAAATTACGGTAAAATACCGACATTCAGGGTGTCAGTACTTTTTACCGTAAAATCTATTTTTACCGGAATATGATACGGAACAAAAAATCTGATTATCTGAATCCATAATTTTTGCAGTAATAATTATCATGAAATCACTTTGATTAAATAGGTATTACAAAAAAATATGGCATAATATTTTACGGTAAAATTGGATTTTACTGCGTAATGGATTTTACTGATGATGCACCTTACTGTATAATGGATTTTACTGATGAGTGAATTTACTTAAGTGCAGGTACATTATACCTTAATTCTTTACAGTACATTTGTAATTTTCAAGACATTCCTTTGTCCTTAAGACTTCGACTAAGAAGTATATTTTGCTGACGGTAAATATTTTTTGAATATAAAATAAATAATGTGACACTTAACTTTTCAAAACTTACAGTGATTAAATATCTTTTAAGTTATAATTATTTAAATTAATATCCTTAAAACAGTTCTGAGTTAAATGGATTTAATTTACAGAAAATTTGCCTGAAAGTGAAAGAATAACGGGAAAGCCTCTTACTCAAAAAATATTCAGTATGTTAAATATAATTTCAGTTTTCGAAATAATTTAACTTTAAAAAAATTGCAATTTTGCAAAACAAGCAGTATTTCCAAAAACAACCCTGAAATAGATGATTTGATTGACAATAAAGTAGTTTTGAAAATAAATTTATAGTCTAAGCAATTTTTAAAATTACGAAAAATATGAAAAAAGAGCTATAATGGACAGTATTTAAAATATATATCACTAAAGAAGATCTGATATATTGTGTTTAAATGACAGTATTTTAGTTTCGAAGATAAATTGATTATAAACTAATTTATAATTTTACAAAACACCCAGTATTTAACATATAGGTTTCTAAAACTCCAAAAATACTCATGAATTAAATAAAACTTACGTCTTATCAATCATTTCATGAGCTTATTCAAATATATAGTAAAGTACTTGTCATTTCTCTCTTGCGTCTTCAGTTATTTAAAAACTCGTTGTTTACTATTATTTATTGTTCTTAAAACCGACAAAGAGTAATCACTTTATGACTAGACATACCATTTTTTATTATCGGTCTTTTTTAAGCTTCGAATTTTTAGATTGATGATGCTATATTAATAATTTGCCACTCAAAATTCCATATTTCACGTTGGACGTATAAGAATTATTTAAATGTTCTGGATAGTAAATTTCGAATGTATGTTCCAGTGTACCCAAATAGACTGGAAGAAGTTGGTAAAATATTTCCCTTCTCTTCAGAAATATCTACGTTTTCAATTATTATTTAAGGTATTGAACTAGTTTTGGCAGCTTTTTTTTTAGAAATATTAATATAAAATTTTAAAAAACTAATTTATTTGTCTTATTATGTGTAAAAACTTATAAAACTTATATTATTTATATTATTATTATTTTTTAAGTGTCCATTCTTAGATAAAAATAATGCAATTTTTTGCACATACGCTAAACACTGTAAAAAAAAAATTGTTGCCTAAAACAAAAAATTCTTTTAGGATTTTATTTAGAAGGCTATCAACTATGTTTTGAACTATTATTGTAGTAAAAGCAAATGCATATACTATTGAGTTAAGGATCAATGCAGTTAAAAAAGCAAATTTTTAAAAATTTCTGCACTTGTCTTTACGAAAAAACATGCATAAAATATACAATTCTACTTTTTTTTTCTCTTAGCCTATAGTTCAAAACACGTATGTTATAATTATAAACACTCATGAAAAATTGTAGTAAATTATTTTAAATACAGCATGAAAAATCGTTGAGGTAGAGTAAAATATGAAAAAATCTGAGTTTGAGATGAACGCATTTAAAAACTTAAAATCATTTTCCTATTAACTGTTATCACTTTGCACAAAAACTACTATAACTTTGTAAATAATTGGAGTACAAACAAAGGTAAAGTATTTTTAGAAAGCTATGAGTACAGAGATTCTAAATTTATAATGAAATCAATTTCAAAAATTTTGTCCAAAATCATGTTTTTGCACTAGTCAGATTTATCTAAGATCCTTTTGTTTAAATTGAGTAAACATGATAAACTGAATTACCATTATGCAATTTGATTTGCCAACTGCCCATAAGTTTACTTTTTTGTCTTCTCCTCCTGTGACCATAACTCTTCCAGATTTTCGACCGAGGGCAAGACATGTCACACTGGCACTGTGGGCTACAAATTCCTCTGTAAAAAACATAACAGAGGTAAGAAATTTCAACGTGAGGAAATGAGATATAAATAATTATTGTATAATAATAGTTACTAATGACAAAAAAAATTATGGCCCTAAAAAGCTTGTGAAAAATTTTTTAATTTGGTTTCGTTTTAACTTATAAAGAAAATTGGTATTGTTAGTTTTCAGCACATTGTTAAGAGATAATTGGGAAAAAATTTTTAAATAAAATGTTACCATTTTACCATATTTTACGAAAACAGTAAAATAACTGTAAAAAATGTTATTGAAGCTGTTAACTATGAGAAAAATCGTGTATTGGTTCAATACGGTGAAACGACAGAATTTTATCCATGCCAATTCGACCCACCTTATGAAGCCGTTTAGTTCCAGGCAGCTGGATACATACTATAGCCAAGAGAGCTGATCTGATAAACTCATGTCCGGTTGAAAGGGGGTTTGAGTCGAAGTGTTTTCCAAAATATTTCCCTTCCATTCCTTCAAAACATGAAGAATTTCTAGCAACCTGCCCTTCCTAATTGGTGACCTTGGATTATTAGAAAGCGAAACTTTCATTTACGCGTACATGGCACTTCCACTGAGCTACTTCACACAATAGTCCAGTATTTCTTATTTCTCACGATAGATGGCACCACCAAATAAAAAAAAATTATGCTACATTCTACGGCTTATTTGACAAAATACAACTCAACCAAAATCTAACTCCGATGTCCATTACCTAATGAAGAGCCTAATATAACCTAACTCCAATATCCAATAAAATATCCTTTTTACGGTCGTGAAACCATGCAAGTGTAAGTTGTAAATGGTTGCAAAACCGTATAGTTTTCTATACACAGACTTAGAAATATTTATAGTTTTGGATTGTTCTTGGATACTATAAATTTGCTACTTTTATTGTTTCAAAAAAGGCTTTGGTTTAGACGAGGGCGCTGCTGTATGATGCTAGAACCAGGCTAGCAAGTAAAATCTAGCGAAGTAAGCTTAGTACTAAGTAGATTCTAGTCATTTTTACAATTTAGAAACTGTGCGTCGTGGCTCAGGGAATAGAGCGTTCGCCTTCCAATGAGATAAACCGGTATCAAATCCCAGTGATGGCAGGTCGATACAAATTCCGCACCCTGTTCGTACCGACTACAGTGCTGACGTGAAATATATTCTCAGGGGTAAATGGATCATGGGTTAGAGTACTCTTGCCGTCATGGTTTTCTTCACCATGTAACAAAGCAGATGCGGGTTAGTTCCATCAAAAAGTTCTTTTGGAAGGCAGATTTCTCGCAATACTTGATCCAGAAGTTCCCTTGTCTTCTGGTCCTTGTCTTCTTATTCATAATTAAAAGACTAAGGAATTTAATATTAGTTGTCGTAAACTCAAAAATTGGGACTTCTGTTCAACGACCGTTATAAAATAAAATAAAATTTAGAAACTTAACTGTAGTTGTATTTCCTAGAATTAGATAACGTCTTTAATTACAATTGGTCAGTCTAAAGAAGTTGATAGTCTAGTCTGCGTAAGTTCAGGACTTTGTAGGTGATAGCGACCTTAAGGATAGGGGGGGGGGGGGGCGCNAAAATAAAATTTAGAAACTTAACTGTAGTTGTATTTCCTAGAATTAGATAACGTCTTTAATTACCATTGGTCAGTCTAAAGAAGTTGATAGTCTAGTCTGCGTAAGTTCAAGACTTTGTAGGTGATAGCGACCTTCAGGATAGGGGGGGGGTGAGCATATATTTTTACAAGTGGTAATCCAGGTAGTAAAGATTGCCTTGCGATTCAATTATATATTTTTACCGAGAAAAATACTGCAAAGTAACATCATTTTCACAATAATAACAATAACTTTCAATAGGAACAAATTTTAATACGATTACAGGTTTTCAATGATCCTATATCTAGAATTTAAAGAAATTTTTCAAGTTACAGTTTTAAAACGTTGATAACAGAAACGTTGGAGATACAGTTTTCAAACATTCATGTCATTTTTCGTACATCAAACGTACATTTATTCATGCATTTAATAACGAAAATTATAATGTATATTGATCTGCTGCTAACAATTAATTTATTGATTTTTACAGTTACTGAAACTAAATCAAACTCTATGATGATTAATTTTATTTACATGCTGTTGCAATACTATTATTAATAAAAATCCAAGATATGTGGAAAAGGTAGAAACTTAAAAATCGATTCTAAGAAAAGTCACGCAAGAACTTCTCTGATGAAAGTTTTGTTTCCAAAAATAACCGAAGGTAAATGGTGGGTTTAAATCTATATTCATAAAATATTTATGATAAACTTTTCGTTTTATTTCGATCAAAAATGATAGTAAAATAAAACACGAAGTTTAAATTTGAAACTGGATAAAATGCAAAACACGAATATTTCCTAGGAATTTCATCACTGAAAGTTACATGTGCCAGAGATATGATTTGAAATATAATTTTAAGAACCCTGCACTCATTTTTTTTATTAAACTAATCCCTGAACATGTAAGATTATCGAGAATTAAATCAAAGATTCCACGGGAAAATATTTCTAGTGAATCCAGTTATTTGCTCTGATGTATAAAAGACAGTAACAAATACCCTATTAGTATTAAATGGGATGCAGGTATTAATAATTAATTAAATAAAGTCAAACTGTTAATAACCCTTCTTAAGAAAACATATATACATTAGCCGTAAACAGAGTATATATTAGACACACATGTCTTTCACATAAATACCGTTTATTTAATGAACGAGTGCCTGTCTGCTCCAGTTGCAGAGGACATTTATTTCTTAAAAGCATCTTGACCTAGTGTTCTAATTTAAAACTTAGGAAATGTCGTTATTTTAATTGCAGTTTATCTTTGTTAACTTGCTAGTATTCCAAATTAAAATCTTAACGACTATCTAAAAGATGCTGAGTATTCTTCCTTAATTTAAACCATACCTTTATATTGGCCAAGTGCTCGGCGGTTAACTAGTTAGTTACAAAACAAGTTGACATGTTAAATAAAAAGTTAATTTCTGAAAAATTTATTGTAATTTTTAAATTTTATTCCCATGAAATTCAAAAGGAATAAAATTTCAATAAATTTAATAATTCAATTAAATACATTTTAATTTTTAAAGCACATTTATTTGGGTGAAAATATATTCTTCTCAAAAACTATCTACATTTTTAGCACTTTTCTCCAAAATTTAGAGTTATATAATATTTAACAACTGGAACGATGAATTTGTTCAAAGAGAAAAATTATGTATAAGAATAAGATAAAACCATCATGTTTTCTAAAGAAAATAAGGCAATACACAATAATGCAAATAAAACTTCGATATTGAAGATATAAAATTTTGCTTCCGCCTTGCAACTTCCGGAAATAGACAAACCTTCAGTTTCGATCAAAACAATATGATTTATTCTTCATTACGTGATTGCAAATAAATCTGATAAAATTTCTGCACGCGATGATTTTGCTTAAAAAATATTGAGTCGAAAAGAAAAATCAAATAGTGGGAATAAAACTTCCTTAAACTAAAACTCGTTGTATAAATTCAGAAAATAAATACTTTAAATTTAAAAAAAAATAAACTTGAATATAATTAACAATTAGTTTAGAGAGATTGAATAGTTTTCTAATATCTAAATGCTGAAATATTTGGAAATGATTATTGATTATTAAAATAAATAATAGATTTCAATCTTCAATAATTTCTCTTATAGGTCCGAAACTGTTTGTGAAATTTGGGCAGCTGTTGGAAGGAGAAATGGGATACATGCAAGTGACGTAATGTAGGTATCTTGATCCTGATTGGTTGTTGAAACGTGGCATTTGTTTACGTTTGGAGCTGTTCTGTCCATTCCATTTCGAGTAAGCCATGTGCATGAAGCATCAATTCGCTTAAATAATATTTTATATTCTTCCACAAAGATTTCAATACTTTCACTACATATTTCTTACTTGATAAAGACAGGCAGGAAGCCATGCAGAACATAAATAAATTAATTATGCATTGAAGTTGCCAGGTTACATCTAAGCGGTAAAGTCAAAGTTAAACAAATGTTAATTTTGTTACCACAAGAAACTAAGTGGCTTCTTAAGGTGAGCCTAGTTTGTGCCTTAAGGCTTTATTTGTTTAACCGTATTTGGTGAAGGCAGTTAGTAAACGATTTTTCTCACACTTAACAATTTGAATATCATCTTTTATATGGTTGTTTGTCTGTTTTGTTTGAATATGGTAAACTAAAAATTAAATAAATTATTATTTAATCATTTTTCCGAGAAATTTCTAACAGTTTGCAAATTTTTCCTTTTATTTAATTATCATAAATTTCTATCAAACATTTTATTTCCTTCCTTTTTATGCTTTCAGTGTATAAAATTTCTTATGTTTGCACATAAATGGGAAATATATTTATCTAATCTAATTAGATTTGCCTCTAATTTATCTAAGCATGCACAATTATTGATTTTCATGCTCATGATTTAAACTCGGTAATAAACTTCGTAAGCTTCAATGACCTCATTTAAAGCTCCTATTATATTAATCTAAACAATAGAAACAAAGCGCTTATGAAAATAAGGGTGAAAAAAAATATTTTTTCACATGGAGATTATTACGTCTTAACGAATATGAAATTTTCAATTAGCAAAAGCGTGAGAAAGCTTAAACAATTTATTTCCGCAATAATGAATGTCTTTTTAAGAAACGTGATTTAATTTAAATTAATAAATTATGTTTGCTATCAAATAGTTGCTTTTTAATTTAATAATATATTTATGAAATTAAGTTAATTACTCGTAAAAATAATGCGTATTACGAGCATAAAATCCAGTTAGCAGTAATATTTATCACGTTTTAAAAGACAATAATAAGAAAAAATAGTAAAAATAGGCAATAAAAGGACTCCTTTGCACTATATTTTAGATCTAATAACTATAATTCTAATCCTAAATAAAGTACAAATTTCCTTTTCATAAACTATTATTTATATAGTATT